TTAGTTTAGGGCAGTGTAACCCAAAAAAAAAAAAAATGTCAAAAGCAACAATTAAATTTATCATATATTTTATAGAATTTACAGCTTTTATCAATTCTACAATTTTATATTTCATCAAAATCTTTTGTCAAACAATAGCAAATTAACCAAATTCGATGTTAGGTTTGTCTAATAAAGAGTCAGGAGTAGCACGTGGATATAACTAAATAAATAATTCTCAATATTTATATTGTTTTGTTTTTGTCGTAAATATAAGGAAAATATATATATATAAATTGTTATTCTATTAGTCATGTTTGGTTAGACTAAAAATTATATTTTTATTAAATTTAGATGAAAGTTCATAAAATGTATAATTAATAAAAACTGTGAATTTTATAAAATGTACAGCTAAAAATGGGTTCGTGGAAAAATAAATTTAAAAAATTATAATCAATAAGAAGATAATTTTCTTATTATCGAGAAAATTAGTAAATGCATTGAATACAAAGAATAGCAATCAAAATAGATACAGCTGTTAGCCACATAACTGACATGGTCACAATACCGGTCATCACCATCAGTTGAAATCTTTTTTTGCTTAATTATTAGACCATCGGATTTTTTTAAGAATGCGATGGAGGAAATCGTAAAATTTCGAAGCATGTCGCAGGTTCAAATTTTTGTCTGATTTAAGCAACGTTTCTTTTACCCCTATTATTTAAAATTACACTTGTCCGTTTGATTGTAAAAATTGAACTTGTCTGTTTGATTGTAAAGATTGAATTTGGGTGAGAAGAAAACGAATTTTAGGAAATTGAATTGTCTCAAAATTATTTTTCTAGGAATTGTCAATTATTGTGTTTAATTGGTATAATTTTACTCGTGAAAAATGTTGAAATAAAAGTTTTTTTTAGTTCGTTTAACTTTGTTTTACATGAAAATTGTCAATTAAAGAGATAGATTTTACTAGTATTGGGAATAAAATTTTTTTTCATTGCCAAAAAAATAAAAAATATTCAAATGAAATTATCTAACTTTTAGTGTTTGTTTGACTTTGTTTTACATGGAAATTGTCAATTAAAGAAAAATATTTTTTTATAATAATTCTTAAAATTTATTTCCATTGCCAAAAAATAAATAAATAAACGAAAAAAAATTGCTGCAGTAAACCCTCTAAAACATGGAAAGAGTCTATGTGGCATGAAAATATGGAAAATGAATTTCAAGGAAATTTTTGTCAATCAAAACACCCAAAAAATGGAAAGTTGAAATTCCACGCCTATCAAACACACTCTTAGGTTCTTAACTTAATCATTCTGAGATCCCATAGTCGAACTCACTATCAAATATTCAATAGAAAAAAATAAAAAATAGTAAGATAATCAATATCTGTATTAGTTTGTGTTTGGCACAATTTAATTAGCACAAACACACTACAACCATCATAAATGGTGAGGACAATTTAGATTTTAGATCTGAACCAAATTTGAAATCACTAGAATTTTCTTGTACTATTTGGTTTTAATTTTAGTGATTTTGGAAGGTTGGGATGGTTGTGGTGGTGATGATTCATGACGAAAATGATTAGTTTTTGTGTCGACATCAGCAAGGAAATATGGTGGAATGAACGACATTGATTGGAGGCCATTAAAGTGATCGTGCAGGTTGGTTGTAGCGTGAAAATGAATGTTTCAAGCGGTAAAACCAATTATAATGGTGTAAAATTGAATGTTACAGACGGTGGTGACAACAATGGTGACGGCTACAATGATAATGGAAATTGGATGCAACACGTAACACACTGTATCATAAGAGGTGAATGTGATGAACATAGGTGGTGAGCATGTTGTTACATAGGGTCTGTTTGAGCCACATTATTGCAAAAAAATATATTCTTAAATAGTGATTTGATATTATTTTAATTACACATTTTTCAATAAAATAATATTACAAGCAGATCAAAAACTTTTCCTTATTTTTTAACCGCACATTTTTCATCAATACACTATTCAAGAATGCATTATTACCAAAATAATGTGGCTCAAACACCCCCATAATTTTAGAAATGAGAGATGTTATTCATAGTTAATGACTGCAATAAATTATGCTACACAAAAAGGATTGATGACAGAGAGAACACGTGTCAACATTTCATTGGACATTTTGAAAAAAAAAAAAAAAAATATAGGATAGCCCCATAGATGTTGCCAACGTAGCCACCTATCACCTACCATGTCCCCAAACCCTGTCAAAGCAACAAAACTCGACTACAATAGTCATTCTATAATCTATGAAGACTTGTTATTTGAAATATTAATGTCATTTGAAACAACGAAATTACAAAAAACTAATATTTCAAATAACAAGTTGTCACGTAACATGACTACTGTAATTGCTAACTATGAATAACATTATTATTGAAACAGTGTACAAAATGCATTTAAAAAAAATAATAAATTGCAGTAATAATATTTTGAGAATAAAATTTTTCTAAAGGTGTACTTTAAACTACTAAAGTTTTTGTTTTTAAAGTACAGCTCCCATAAGATAATAGCAAATAGGCCCAGGCCCAGCCCAACAGAGTAAGCTGCCCCATTTGCCATCATATAATATGTAGTACGCAACAAACGAAAATAAACCTGGACGAAACGATGCCCGTAAGATAAAGAAAATTAAACACTTCAAATTAGGGGACAGAGATCCTTGTCCAGGTTAAATTATTATCACCCGAGATGACATTCACATGCTTACAGTTGTGCATGCAAATGCAAACTACCTATAATACTACGTTACACATACATTAATTTGTTTGAGTCCGATGAAATCATACTACTGATAATTCTCAGAGAAGCGTTCGTCCATAGGAAAAGCGTTGTCCATGTAATAGCGAGGATGTGTGGCGTCCATCACAACAAACTGCATATCTTCCGAAGGTTTCCAGTGACGTTTCCTCTGGTTGATGAACCAATTGTTTATTTGCCTCTGGTCCAGACCAGTCGATTCAGCAAGCTCCAGTTTCTGGGATTCCTGTTTGCAGTTAGACAGATTGAAACAATTAGAACCACGAAGTTCTTTAATTATGCGCCAATGCATAATTTTCAGAAATCAACGTTGGTAATTAACAAACGGTAGCACATATATGAAATAACTTTACTAGTAATCAAGATATAAGCACTATTCGGATTCTTTCGACCAAGATTCAACATTTTCGATACATGAGAGAGTAATGCAAGATAAAGTGCGGTCAAGATACACCGGTTCAGATTGCCCCATAGAAACACTCGTAAACAAATGACGTTGGCACTGGAAGAAGAGTGACCGCTAGAATAAGAGCCTATCGTTAAGTCGAGTATAATTGAAGATAAACAAACATTAGAGTGACTTTGTTTCACACCAACAAAAAATATATATATATCTGTTGGGATAAGAAGATGATACCGGATTAATCCATTATCACTTTGTTGAAAGATATAAGATATTATAGCCCCAATATGAAGTGATTGATTATAAGAACTCAAAAATAAAATAATTTGCAAAGAATGAAAATTTTATTATAATATAGAAAAAGAATAAAAAGACTTTGTATTTATTATTATTATTTTAACTTGAAATGAGGCTAAACCACCCAACTAAATTATAGAGAAGTGCCAAATATAAATAATGAACAATTCAAACCCTAAAAGTAGAATTGCAGATGAAATAGAATGCCCAAAAATTTTGTTATCTTGGATCTTTTCAACTCCAACATGAATTTCAACTCCCAATTTGGTTTTCAAATAGAACTTAAACTAGCATTTATCAAATAGACTATAAATAGGAATTCAAAAGCATTTCAAATAAAATTCTTCTTAAAGAGAAAACTTCCAATTATTTTCATCAAAAAATTCAAGTAAAACCAAATTCTAACAACCTCCACCCCGACACGACTTCCACTGCCAAAAATAGAAATAAAAAAAAAAAAAAAATCTCCACCTGAAAACAAGTTCCACTGCAAGAAATAAAGTTAAGCTCTAATGAAAAACACAAACCAACTTCTCCAAACAAAAAAATTTCAACTAAAAATATTCTCCACCTATTACCCCAACTAGAGCAAAACTCAATAACTGAGTATTAACAAAATTTCAAGTAATACCTTGAATACCAAAGTTACTCGAATCACGAGCAACTAAATCAAACATGATTAATAATCACCAAATAAGGCTAAAACAAGCCTTGTAATAGAATCATCACAACTAAACGCATCAAAAGAAAGATCTTAGCTAGAATCAACACCATTAATCGCATTCAAACCATCAACTAAATCAGCAGAATTGCACCTATGTCGAGTCTTATGGCCAAAGATTGATCCGTTACTAGCAATTAAATACAATAACACCTCGATAATGGTGGCAAGGCAAATTTATCTATTAACTTCTAAATTCAATTGAGATGTATTCTTTAAAGAGACTCTAAATTAGACTCCGATGGCACAAAATCCAACTCCAATTCCACTTGAGTTCTTTAAATATGGTAATTGCTCTGTATAATACATCGAGATATATAAATGGGATCTTCAGTACCTATATCAAAATAAGAGCTCCTTTACTAACCATCGAGACTTCACCTTCAACAGTATATCTATTACCCTTTTGAATCAAGAATAATTAAGGAAATAAGACTTTTCCTCAGATCTGGAACATCTCGCCGCATCAAGTCTTCTAACCGTCCCGTCAAAACATCTTTATGTTAATTTGGCATATACCAGCTATCCAATAAGGTGTATTATTATCAATCATCACAGCACCTTTTAAAACTTCATATGTTGAAAACAATTTCCAATTGACAAACATATGAAAAGTGCAAGCTGTGTTAAGAATTCAAGCCTCGTCAGGTTCGGAATTGTAGTCAGGCATATGTAAAAGTTCACCATCACTCAATACTTCTCCTAAAGTTTCAAATTGATGATTTGCAGTCAATTTTGATTTACTCTACACTTACAACAATCATTTATCAATTGTCCATTTTTCCTACAATAATTACAAAATTTGAAGTTAAATATTTTACTTGCCCCTTACACGACCACTGTCAACAATGAGGCCATCTGCATGACCCTCAGATGATATAAGATGCTTCATCTTCTCATTTGAACATAAAACATCATAACTTCTTCGATGGTGAGAGTATCACAACTATAAAAAATCACGTCTCTAGAAGACGTACGATGCGACAATTAACACAATAAAACCACTTGCGAATCTTCATCAAATGACCTCCAAAGTCTCCAAATCAGCAATGATTTCTTTAAAAGCAACTAGGTGATCCTTAAGAGATGTACCTTCTATCATACGATAAGAATATCAATGTTGCTTGAGATGCAAACTAGCAAGACTTCGTCAAGCATAATTGTTCAAATTTTAACCATAATGCAGTTGCTAACTTCTCTTGCAAAAGTCTTGAAGAATAATATTTAAAAGATGATGTATTTGAGATAGAACCTTTCGATCTCTCTATTGTTTCTCCTCCAGAGTCCAACTTGTGGGCATCTTGTCAAATTTCAAAAACGCGTCGTCCAAATCTATCTGTGCAAGTACTGCTCACATCTTTACCTACTACAATGAGAATATTGTATTATACTACAAAGTTGCCATTACGAGAAACCTCGATTTTCCCAATAATTTCAAAACCAAAAGCTTTGATGCTAGTTTGTTGGGAAGCAAAGATGATACCAAATTAATCCAATACCACTTTGTTGAAGGAAATAAGAGATTATAGCTACAATATGTAAAGGGAGTCATGTCCTAGTGAATCGAGGGCCCTTCAAGCTTAGCATACCGTATGGAACCATCGTCAAGTAATTAATCACAAGAACACGAGTAAAATAATTTACAAAGAATACAGATCTTATTATAATATGGAGAAAGAATAAAAAAAAATTACGGTTATAATTTGTCTAATTTGTAATGAGATTAAACAACTTAACTAAATTATAGAGAAGAGCCAAATAAATATAGGAAACAATTCAAACACTAAAAGTAGAGTTGTAAATAAAATAGAATGCCCAAAGGTATCATTATCTTGATCTCTTCTAGTCCAACATAAATTCTAACTTTCAATATGGCTTCCAAATAAAACTTCAACTAGAATTTATTGAATAGACTTTGAATAGGATTTCAAAAGCATTCCAAATAGAACTCCTCTTAACGTACACTTTAATTAGAGCTCTCAATTATCTTCGACAAAGAATTAAAATCATACCCAAAGTTTAACAATATCAATAAATTCACCAAATAGCAAACATCAGCTATAATTTCAAATAAGCAGGCACAATGACCAAAATTCTAACGAAAAAAAATAAAAATAAAATCAAAGTAATGCTATAAGCTCTCATAATGAACCAAGTAGATTTATACTAAAATTGATGGAGACGATGAGATTATACAATACATACCGAGGGATACGGCCATTTATAATGATTGCTCCACCAATCCAATAGTTTTTTCCTAGCTTCTTTCGGTAGCTTTCCCTTCTTTGTTTTCTTCATAAATTCCTGCTTTAGGCTACCCAAATATCCACTGTATTTGCGCAACAACTGACCTTTCAATTCCCTATCTTCTGCTTGAGGATTTACGACACCATTATTCCCATCAATCTCTTCTCCAAAAGATCCATTTATATCAACAGCTTCGTCATAGGCCACTGACAAAACAAACGGAGCTTAAGCATCTTGGCATAGGAATAAATATATTATTAGCACATGCAACATTAATTATCTAAAAAGCCTATTTAAGCACCAAAAGCAAATGCTACAGCCAATTTCCTTAGAAAGTTATATATATATATCACTTAGCAATTGAATATTTTTAACTTACATAGCTGTCCACCTCACAAACTATATAGAATAATTATATGCGAGTCAAGAAAACAGTTTCTAAACTAAAGGTTCATTTGATACCAATTTTTTTTCAATAGAGAATGAGAATAATGCTATAGGTACGATTGTTTAATGTCCACTAGAACATCCATGGATTTCAAAAGGAGATTAAAAAAAAAATAGTTCAGAATTACGCCCATGTTTGGTTTTGATTAAAATCTTTAATCAAATTTTAATCTAAGTCAAAGTCATACAATCAATATTAACAACATGAAAATCAATTAAAAGTTAATTTTCAATGTAAGAATGGTAGTCCACACTTTCCAATGGCCAAGTGAGAGTTAAAAGGGAAAACCCAACGAGCAAATGGCCTTTCTTTCCACATAGTCGGGTTTAGGTTAATAACTCTACATTAGTCCTGCTGCAAATTTGGAGGCTAATACACAAATTGCTAAACTCTATCCATTTTGTATTACTTTAAAAAACAAGGTTTCTAAAAGTGGAATGCAAAAATAGGGCAAAGGAATCTTATCAACAAATATATAATGAAAAATCTACGATGAGTAAACTTTGAGATCATGTGAAATTTGTCTTGTATATATACACCTGACCAAATATTTCATCGTTGTTTCTCAACCCGTAAAATACTTAAATTAGAAATGATCTACCTACATAGAATCATCTCCAATCCTATTGAGTATCGAGGATTTCTTTTACAACTCTAGGCATATCCGTCTCTCTATGCGAAGTTGACGAAATTAACGATAATGTCTCGAAAAGATGCTGGCTCGTGAAGCTATATGGGGTAATTCATGCAAACGCGATAAAAATGAAAATAGCGATAAATCACAGCAGAAAAAAGGTAACCAATTTACCTTAAGTGGAAGAAATATAATGACTTGAATAGTAGGAAATCCACATATTTTCAGGCAATGAATTTTTAACTTAAGGGTGTACTTGTGCTGATAACTTCATCCAAAGAAAAACTTGATCAACTGTTTGATTTAGAGGGAATAGAGAATTTGATACATAGCCTAAGGAGTTATACACATTTCTCTTCTTGTGTGGCACAAGTCTCCATTAAAACAAATGAAATTAAAGTCATTCGGCAAAGAAATGTAGCGGCAACAAAGATATTAAGATCATACCTCCAGCATAGAGTGTAAGATGAAAATTTAATTTGGGATAAAGTACAAATTAGCAGCCTAAAAATTGAAACCCCTAAGATACCTAACTCAATAGTTAGTGGGAAATGATAAGTTAAAGGAGTTCATCAAGCAACGTTAGACATAAAACGTCATTAAATCTCACTTCCTTTCTTGTTTCACTCTTAATAAACACTTTCAAGACCTGGTAACATTCAATAATGCAGATTATCCGCCTCAATTAATTACAGCTTTGGAAATACAAGGATAACTATTCAGATAAAATTTCAGGTCTCCTAGCTTTACTGATGGAATAGTCAGGAACTGATCAATACGTTCAAGGAAAGAATGGCGTAATTACAGAAAGCACGCGAGTATTTCCACAAATGTTAAAAGCATGATGACCTGGAAACATTTTCTCACTAACTTAGATAAAACGTTATTGATGATAAAATAATATTCTTCAAATTACAAATTACTGATATTGTTCAACCTAATCCGTCAGACTTTGCTTTCCTCAATCTGTAAACCCTAAACAGCAGACAAGATGGGCTTAATACAGTGTTAATTTCACTGTTTATTTGGTTGAATGAGCACCGAATGTTACATAAGTAGAGTATCCAACTTTATTCAAGCTGGAGAACTATTTAAATAATGTGTACGAAAAATGTTATATATTTCTAAAAATAGAATGAACGATGTGAGGAGTCGAAAAGGCATTGCATTATTAGATACAAATATCGAGAGCAAATCAAAATAAAAGTAATTATTACAGCTTTTTACAATTTTAACCCGCTGCTAAACTAGATTAAAGAATTTAGGCAAAAGCTTACCCTTGAAACAGTTTCAGGCGTCTAATAGTCAAAGCTAAAGAAATAACAAAAAGAATCCCAAAGGAAGTAAGAAGTTGAACAAGAAAAATGAAAAAGGCAATGGAGGAAATGCATCCGAAAACAAGTTCGGTGAACAGTAAATCAAATCTCCATCTTGGAAACCTGCACATGCAGGTCTAACATATAACATACCCAACAAAATCAAGAAACAGTGAGATCTGAGAAGAACATATATATAAATATCAACCATTGAGGGATAGAGGGAGAAAGAGAGTTTGAGAAAGAATTCATCACCAGTATCAGAGGAGAGAGAGAGCGCTTTGAACTGGCACTCAATTCTTGACAGGAAAAGCATGGCTTCCTTGAAGGGTTTAGAAAGTTCTTGCTCGTATTTTGTGAGCATTTCACAGTACGCCTCCATAAATTGGTCAAGCGCCGGATCTTCACCCACACTACTTGATTGGCTACCCATTGCGGCAGCTGACGCGCATGCTTCCTCAAGTTTTGCCACTACTTCCGGTGGTGCTCCTATCTGCATAAATAGTCCCGAGTAATCAGTTCCACAGAGTTTTTCAACAAGGAGTATAACCCAGTAAAAAACGCTCTCTAACAGCATCGCTAGTAAGAGCTTTTCTTACGTACTTTTTTCCTTGACTTCATTCAAGAGAAATCGCTGTGGTAAAGTATTAAAAATTAGGGATTCTCTCTCTCTCTCTGTGCACCCCCACACTTGCATAAAAAATAAGTATTTTTACATCACCACACATATCCTTGAAAGAATGAGAAGAATTACAGGACGAAAATGTATAATTTGACTCTTGAGTTCCTCGGATATTATTTTTACCTTCTGACAGTTAACATAGGCAGCCAAGAGACGGTGGTAATGAGGATGAGCCATGATCTTTGCTTTGACAACGCAGCTTTCTCCGTCGTCGTTGGTATTACTCTCCATAAGATAAAACCCAGTGCTCGTACTATTGTAATTTTCTTCAATCATCATAGAAGAGCCACCGCCGCCGTTATGCCGATTTAGGTCTCGGCTGCTGGGGAGAGGAAGTGGAAGAAACAGCGTATTGCTGCTGACTGCATGAGGATAAGGGTGAGAAGTCAATGGCGGCATCATCATAGATGGAAACATCCCATTACTGTTTTCTCCAAAAGATATCATTCTGGAACCGCCACCACTCTCCATTTTCAACCTCTGCAGGGGGATTATGTTTTTTAACAGAATATCCTGTGTTTCTTTCTTTTTGAATGTTTCCTAGTGGTCTCCCGACTTTTATGCTTACTGATTTCAGCCTTTATACAGAAAGGGCTAAATAGTTGTCGTCAGTTTATGAAGAGTTATAATGGGGGGTCTGAGAAAGTAATCTGTTCAGGGTTTTTTTCCAACTGGAAACGGGGTGTTTTATCTATCTATGCAGAAAAAAAATGAAAGAAAAGTGGGAGTGAGAAACAGAAAGATTTGCAGAGTACACGCGATCTTTGCAGAGGTAGAAGGAGGAGGGGTGGCTGTGTTATCTTTGAGCCTCGTTGTGTAAAGCTTTACTTTCCGAATGAAAACTCTCTCTCATATTTCTTACGCTGCCACTGAAACACTGCCATTACTGGCAAACTAGAGAGAGAAATAGAGAAATATTTCTTCGTAGAGGGAGAGAGAGGGTTGAGAATTCAGAGAAAGATAAATGAACGATCAAATCGAGGATGTATTGTATTGTATTGTATTGTATTGTATTGTATTGTGTAGTGTAGTGATGGATGATTGGCTTGCGTGGGGTTGGGGAGTCAGTGTTTGTTTTTGGGGCACGGTACTGCTCCTACTGATATTAGCTATTTGTCCACTAATCAATTATTCTCTCTTCACATAATTGCCTTCTTCTCTATCTTCCACCATGATTGGGCAATTTCGTATTGAATGCTTCAAATCTTTGTAAGTGTCCGTTTGATTGTAAAGATGAAATTGAATTGCTTAAAAAACAAATTTCAGGGAATTGAATTGTCTAGAATTGTTTTCCTGAGAATTGTAAATTATTGTGTTTGATTGGTGTAATTTTTCATATAAAAAATGTTGAAATAAAAGTGTTTTTTAACGTTCGTTTGACTTCGTTTTACATGAAAATTGTCAATTAAAGGGAAATATTTTTTACAATAATTCTTAGAATTGGTTTCTATTACCAACAAAAAAAAAAGACAAAAAAAAAAAAAAATTAATCGCTACATTAGGGTGGAATTTGAATTCTCACCATCAAATTCCACTAAAACAAGGAAAATACCAAGTTCCAAGAAATCTAAGAAATGCAATTCCATGAAAAATATAAGGTACCAAATACCAAAAGTTGGAATTTCCAATTCCAATTCCAATTCCATCTTTTTTTTTTCCATTTCCATGCTATCAAACACTCCCTAATCTTATACCTTATGACTGATTAACTTTTTTTACAACCAAGAATCATTATTTTAATTCAAATCACCTTCATCGGGTGGGTGATAACAATGCAATGAATCTAAGCATTGACAAGAGGACCACGAATAGCAAAAATAGGCAAGCTCGACTATCACTGTACTCCCGTCGTGGGTATATAGTAACAAAGACCATAACATACCTCAATATACAAGGTAAGAATGTTCAATGAAACAAATGCATTAGGAGCTAAATGTAAGTATCCTGTATATATGTAGATAAGCTTTGAACAAGGCGTTAGCATTCATTCTTTTTTCTAACGACGATGATCCAGCCTCTTCATGGAAATATTAACCTTTCTCATAGGCCAAGGCATCTAACTCTTCTGTAGAATAGTAGCCCGCAACCTTTATCGACCAAGCTGCAACTACGTTCCCCATATGATCTCGGAGAATAGCCCCAAAGGCAATCATGCCATTCTTCTCTAGCACAATAGCGTCTTAATTCATTTTAGTGACACTCATCCTCAACTGAACCCAACCTTGCAACATTTGCTCTCCTGTTCGCCTATCATCACCCATCCTCCATGTTGGAAGTAAGTGGTAGTCTCAATCAATAAATCTTCATTCCTCTTTCGTCCCCTCATGTAAAACACTATGTGCTCTTCCAATGGTATCCATAAATTGAACTCACCTAGCAATTTTTTTTTCCTCAATCAACCTCAAAATTTGCCACCAACAATTCCCAAGTTTCCATGTGAAGATAATGGTTCGCAACACCCACCAACAAGCCCTTTGCAAAAACAAGCATCACTGTTGGGCACCAAAAGAGTTAATAGCTCAAATGATTACTGAACTTTGCAAAAAAAAAAATTCACGGCGTTACTGAATTTTGTAAAAGGTTATCACGGGATCACTGAATTTTAAAAATTATCATATTCATCACTAAACTTTGCAAAAAGTTTTTCTGAAATAAACTTTTTTGCAAAGTTTAATGATGAATAGAGTGATTTTTAAAGTTCGGTGACCGCGTGTAAATCTATTACGAAGTTCAATGATGACTTGAGTGATTATAAAATTCAACGACCTCGTGAAATTTTTTTGCAAAATCCAGTGACCATTTGGGTTATTAACCTTACCACCAAAACAAAGCATGCGTTATATTTTAATAGTCCTTGCTCAACACACATTCCAAATAGCAAACCACTCTCCCACGAATAAGATTGGATTCAGTAGGGAGGTCATCATGAAAAGTCCTCCATAAGAACAATCGTACTTTAGGGGGGAATATCAAGCCTTCATAACCCATTCCGCCAATTCTGTGCTACCTGTTGTGCTAGAGACAATATTAGGAACAGTTAGGAACAATCTCATTTTGTAACAATTTATAGCCACTACGAACAATATAACTACACTTTTATCAAAATGTCATATCAACCCTGTTTCCTTCCTCCTCATGTATATTACTTGCACACTTAGACACACACATTACAAACAGGAATCGAGACTTTGCCAAGCAAGACAGGTGAGGCCATAACCATACGTGCTTCGATGCTCAAGTCAAAAATGGATAAATGATTTGATGTGAGGAAAACAATAGTAGTGAAGAAACGCAAGAGTAAGTTTTGTACTTCTAGGGTGAAAATGATCAACTCACAATTACTTTTGAATGTCACCAAGTGTGAATATTTATTGGCAAATTAATATAATTGAGATTCTCTAGATACTTGATACATGATTATATCTTCATTGCCCACGAGTCAAGCTCAATGACATTATATTATAACCCACCATAGGTCTATAACCTCCTACAGATAGTCCTCGATAAAGAGGATATGACTCCCACTTGCCCTTTGCAGAATGTCAATCAAATTGACATGCATGGCTTGATGTGTCAAATTACAACTTGGATACGGTATTAGGATTTGAGCCCCAATTGCCTCAAACTTTGGAGATCCACCTAATGTGCTAAAGGTTGGGGATCCTATGATCACATTGAAGAAGAGAGGTGACAATTCTCAATTGAGTTATGTCGCTTAAGTAGTTTTCGTCGAAGAGATGTTGGTCTGATTTCCCAACTCCTGAAAATTAATATGATTGAAATAATGTTATGTAGCCTCATCGCCTCGAAAATGAAATTGTAAGAGGTGAAACTCAGTTCTATTAGCCTCAAAGAACAAGCGATGACGTGTATTTAGCTTAATGGCAGCCATACGATTTGTCACAAATGCAGCAAAGTTTAGATATAATTTAATTTTGTGACTATTTCCAACTAGTTTGGGAAACATTATTACTTAGGGTTTGTTCGATATTGATCATGAGAATTGATTTTTTGACCGTTTGAGAGAAAAATTGAGTCTCACTTGCGAGTGAAGAAATTAAAAATGATGTTTGAAATAGTAAAATACAGTCAAAAAATCAATTTTTTGAATTGAAGAATTGCTACCAAGCAGGGTTTAATGGTATGATTAAATATTTTTTAATTACTTATTATAAAATCAACTTATCCAAAATTTATTTCTATTATGTTATAATGACAACTTAAAATTTCATCCAATGAATACAATCATTCCCAATTTGATCTTCCGATTTCACTCTAGCTTTAGTGTGTGGGGACAGTAACAATTTTGAGCCTGTTTGTACATCTCTCGTTATGAGAGAAATTAAAGAGTTTTGAATAATATTTTTTGAAGAATATGTTGTTAAAATCTAAAGAAATTTTATTGATTTTTATGTACAATATTTTATCATGTAAATGTGTAATGAAAAATATTACTATAATAAATAATTTAATTTATTAAAGGATGACAAATCAGGTTTTGGTCCATATTACAGTCTCAAGAATTTGGTTTAAACCAAGCATTAGGGTTCAGTCTCATCAGAGAATACGTACGCGAATCCGTCCATCTCAACACCGTAAGAAGAAAAGACTGTTTTTAAAGAAAAGTTGGCGAGACGTCACCTCTACTTAGTAGCTCAGATTTACAGCTCACAGAATAAGTTCATAGAGTATATATGTACGTGTACTTACGTAAGATTATTGAAACTAGGGTTCTTCCAAGAAATCTTTTCTTTTCTGTATTTTTACTCTAAGTCATGTCACCAGTGGCCTCTCTCTGGCTGTATGAAGTTTTAACCTTTCTTACTCCCACATGTCAATCTCGTGGCAAATCAATAGTGAACTTTTTGGATAAACTTTTGTTTATTGAGTTGGATTAAACTTTTGTTATGATAATGGGGATCAAGAGTTTAATTAATTAACCTAAGTAGTAAAGTCATCTGGTTTTTTTAATCATATGGACTTCTCAGTTTTCCACTTGTCTCCCATTAAGTAATAAAGTTTTCATATGCCTTAATAATTGCAATACATTAATAATTTTATGGCCCATCATTCCTCCCACTTTGCTCTTCTTTTTCATTTGTTGGCAGCCTGAGTGATGGGATCCTTAGGGTTTTTAGCAGCAGCCAATCTGTTTGAAATTCTTAAAAAACGATAATTTCAATTATTTAAATTATCTTCAATAATTCTTTCATGTGCAGTGCAAAGCAAATGGTATTTTACAACAAAGATCATCGCGAACACAAATTTTTATAAAGTAACGACGTTAAAATTTGAATTCAAAACCTTGAATGTTCTCAGTTCGTCTCTCTCATGTGAAAAATGCCCATATAAAGTGTAATGTTTGGGGGCAGTCAGCTGTGCATTTTCGCTTTTCGTGGTATCATATTTTCACCACATGGAATGAAGAATTGGTTACAATATTGTCCTTGTTTGGGAATGATTATTAGTAATTTTTTAGGAGGATTAATGGTGGAGATCACGAACTGCATGGATCATAATGAGTATTAATTTAAGGGTCTAGTTGATCGGTTGAGTTTTCCATTGAAAATAAATTCCATTTTCAACCAAAATGAAATATTTGATGGCAATCTTTTTCAAGGAATTTGTTTTCCTCCAACCCCATCACGTGACCGGATTTTCCATGATTTTAAAGAATTGGTTTTCTTTGGATTTTGGTGGGAAAATGGTTTTCCAACTTTTTTTTTTTTTATTTTCACCAATAAAAACAAATTCTACCAACAATTGTAAAAAATTATATCATTTTAATTGACAATTTTCATGAAAAAATAAAATCAAATGAAAATCAAAAGATCCAAAATTTCAACATTTTCCAAGTGAAAAATTATATCAATCTAACATATTTAATTGTCGATTCCCACTAAAACAAGTTCAAGACAATTCAATTTCTTGAAATTCGTTTTCTTTCCAC